ATCCTGACTCCTGACTAACTCTGCCAGCTTCACTGTTCCCAAGGCCCAACCGCAAGGCACCCTCCAGACAGAAGGGCCCAGAACGCTTCGCTCGCCCACCATTTACTGCCGCCCTGCACGCCTCGGCCACCCTGCTCCCTTCACCCAGAAGGCCTACACCTCGTGCCCAACCTGGCTGGCACAGGTGCCCACTCCAAGGGCCGGCTTGGATGTCTCACTCTCCCTGCAGTCTTCCCCTTCCTCCACTCCCCCAAACCCCAGAACGGGCCTTCACACTGAGCCACAAGAATGTATTTAGAGCTCCATCTTCTGTAGACAGGAAGGGGAAGGAGAGATGGAGGGAGAGGGACAGGAGAGGAGGGGAAGTAAAAGAAATTACGATGTGTGATGCACGTGGACCAATTCCCTACGAGGAATGTAATTATTATGATGTGCAAACGTGTACAAATTAAAACATGTATTTTGAGACAGGGTTTTACTAAGTTGCTAACTTGCCCAGGCTGAGCTTGAACTTGTGATGCTCCTGCCTCGGCTGCCCAGAGTGCTGGGATTGCAGGTGTACAGCCCCACGCCCGGCTCCCCTTCCTCCATTCTGTGAGCCCTCACACGTGCCATTCCTACACCGATCATGGTGACTTCGCATTCCCAGCTTGGCATTCTCTTTTTTGTTGTTGTTGTTGTTTTCCAGTACCAGGAATCGAACTCACGACCTTGCACTTGCCAGGCAGGCGCTGTGCCGCTGAGCTAAATCCCAGCCCCTCCAGCTTGGTGTTCTCAATGTTCCCCGCCTGAGACAGGGAGTGGGACGTGTGCCCATGTGCTATTAGGCACAGTGTAGAGACTGTATTTACCGACTGAAATCCAACGCACTACAACTCACAAAGCAAACAGAGGGAGAGAGTAGGACCTGCCTGGTCCTTTATCCACTTTCCTCTTGGTATAAAAATGACTGTGGGAGAGATAACGGCCAAGTCGCAGCAGGAAGACCAGATCCCAATTATTTAGATAAATAGCAGAAATGTTTGAGGCTAAAACGCCTAAAACATCCAAATTTACCAGATGGTGATATATGGCCTGAGACCAAACAAGAATTTCCACCCAAGGCTATGTGGGATTTTGTGTCCCAGGCTCGCAGGACTGGACTAATAAAGAGAACATTCCGCGTGGGATTTCATCGTAGGTTTGGCCCCATTTACTACCAGGATGATACAGCCTCGCCCTTGGGCTGCTCCAGGCATGAAACCAACTGAGACAGGAGATTTATAAATATGCAACCATAAAAAAACACAACAAACTTCAAACCAGTAAGAATGTTAGAAGCCATATCATCTGGCCGCCATGTAATAATGTAGTATGACTACAAAGCAAAATGTAAGTCTAGTATCCTCAAAAGATATCTACTTTCAGTAAGGCACGGTGATGCTCGCCTGTAATCTCAGCACTCAGGAGGCTGAGGCAGGAGGATCAAGAGTTTGAGGCCAGTCAGCTTGGGCTACATAATGAGTTCAAAGCCTGCCTGGAGTACTTAGTAAGACTCTGTCTCAGAAGAAAAGAAGGAGAGGAGAAGAAAGGGAAGGAAAAGGGAAGGGAGGGAAGACAGAAGAGAGAAGAAAGGAGAGGGGAAAAAAGGAAGAAAGAGCGAGGGAAGGATGGATGGAGGGAAGTAAGGTCAACGAAGAGAGAAACCTACTTGAAAACTTCAGAACATTCTTGGCACAAA